TTGGGTGTGGGTGTGGGTGTGGGTGTGGGTGTGGGTGTGGGTGGGTGTGGGTGTGGGTGTGGGTGTGGGTGGGGTGTGTAGGTGTGGGTGTGGATGTGGGTGTGGGTGTGGGTGGGGTGTGGGTGTGGGTGTGTGGATGTGGGTGTAGGTGTGGGTGTGTGGATGTGGATGTGGGTGTGAGTGTAGGTGTGGGTGTGGGTGTGGGTGGGTGTGGATATCTTTTTGAGCGTTTATGCGTCGTTTTGTAATTCTCACCCACGCCCAGCGGCACCCTCGCGAAGCCACATCTTCAGACCGCGCATCCGCTACAAACCGCAGGCATACGCACACCATCGCGGAGACCGACACAATTCACGCACGCACTCTCACACTCTCATTTAATGCATTCGTTGGAATATAAATAACTCTTTGAAGTCTAGGGGTTTAGTTAAAATTCAAAAAATATGAATGTAATGTTTCATTGAAAAGGAACTTTAAATTCAAATAATTGATCAAGCTCGAAAAATCACATTGCGTCATCGCAATAATGTAATTGAGCGATGAGCTTTAACCCTTTAAGTACCATGACCCGGTCAATTGATGAAATTGCTTTGAGACTTTATATTTAACATGGGCAGTGTGTGTTATGAATATTTTCATCGAAACTTTTCAAAAACCTTCAGAGTCATTTTCGACCGATGTCTGTAGTCCCCTACGGGGATAGTACAGAAGTTTCTTAGAATAGAAGTGGTGTTCTAAAAGCTCATCAGGCTTACTACTTGAGTGCCTTCATTAAGATTATAACTCTTATATAGATATAAGCACTGAAGTCTCCTCTATGTAATAGAGAAAATCGCTTCTCAATATCTCTTTGCATTCACGAGTTATTCAAAGATTACGAAACTCAAAAAAATCGTACTTTATTAAGTACGTTGGTACTTAAAAGGTTAATAAAAATACCTAATGAGAGACCTATCTCTTACTGCCACGGAAATCATTAGTTTCGAATATAGTTTCAATAGATAGCTATTTTTAGTTGCAATTTAATTTTCTAGATCGTAGATTCTTCAGTTTAGGGAAAGATTTTACTTATATTTGTGCACTATGAGTAGAAGAGAACATAAATTATTTTTAAAATTAGTGGCAAAGCAGCCACTATATATCTTGAGTTTTGAGAAGTGCCTTATTTCTAATATAAATTTACTCAAAATACAAGCACTGATAGGGGTTTTTCTGGAGTGACGACATGCATTAAGAATTATAAAAGTGTTGGCAAAAAGTGATTAAAAGTTACAAGGTGAGTTTCAGAGTTTCACAAATCAGATGGTCGCATTTCTGAACAACTTAGGTTTGTTATTGCAGTGTTTTAGAAACAAGGTCTTAATCGAATAGCTTTCACATCATAGATGCCTTGTGTTCAGCATAAAACCAATTCCATGTTTTATTTAATCCATCAATGATATTTGTTTTGGCTCCAAAGTTGAGCAAGTGTTTCGCTTTCGATGTATTAGCATAGGTAATTGTGGCCTCGCTTGAATGTGACCGCACCGGCTTTGTATTACGATTTATCTTCCTATTAACTGAGGGTGTGGGTGTGGGTGTGGGTGTGGGTGTGGGGTGTGAGTGTGGGTGTGGATGTGGAGTGTGGGTATGTGGGTAGGTATGGGTGGAGATATGTGCTCACACCCGCAGGCACAGCCACACCCACATCCGCAGGCACAGCCACACCCACACACCCACACCCACATCCGCAGGCACAGCCACACCCACACACCCACACCCACATCCGCAGGCACAGCCACACCCACACCCACACCATTGACGAGCTCTATCCATTGGTATAATCAGATTATCCATACCTCAAACCTGCCGCCTAGAAAATCGATTTTCCGACTTTTTCTGCTGAGAGTCGAGATACTCTGAAAAGTATTTCCAGCCCCAATTCGCTCAGGAGCTTGCTTCAAATCTCCTATTCTTGTTTCAAGTACACCTCGACGAGCTCTGTCGATTGATATAGTCAGATTTTCCATAGCTCAAATCGGTCACCTGAAAAAGCGATTTTACGACTCGTTGTCTTGCGATCCAGGGGGTCTATGACGATTGTGTGTAAGACAATTGTGTGTAAGACAATTGTGTGCAGACAATTGTGTGTATAGACAATTGTGTGTACGACAGATGTGTGCAAGACAATTGTGTGTATGGACAATTGTGTGTAAGACAATTGTGTGCAAAATGAGGGTATGGGTGTGGATGTGGGTGTGGATGTGGGTGTGGGTGTGGATGTGGGTGTGGATGGGGGTGTGGATGTATGGGGCGGGTGTGGGTATGGGTATAGGTATGGGTATGATGTTTCTTTACTCTTACGCACACTCACACCCACACCCACACACCCACACCCGCACCCACACCCACACCCACACCCACACCCACACCCTCAAGTGAGTCACATGGACGAGCGTTACTTATTGGATAAGGGTTAGTTAAATATTTGAATAGTCGATAAATTTTAGACTTCATCTAGAAGAATGTCAAAACTAAATCCAAGATAGATTTGTTATATAGATTATTAAAGACGAGACACTATATATTCATATAATAAGACATTCAATATTTACCATTTTCTAAAATTTTAGATATCGTGGTCAGAACTTTTCGTTAGTCCTAAGTAACTAACATGACTTTTCAAGTATTCTGACTTCACTACGATTTTTGTGATTTTATTGATCTTGATGAACTTGATGATTCTGAAATCACTAGAATCATTTGAGTCAGCTGTTTCTCACTAGGAATGAAGTCGTTTTTAGATCATGATGTCTTCTCTTGAGTGCTATCTTGATGTCATACATATTCCTTTGAATCCATGGTATCAATACAGAACTGTCTCAAGCAAACAACGATCCTGGTTTTTTTCTTTGTACGAAAGAACGTTTAGAAACGATCTTTTCCCAAGCTACTATTCAGCCTTGCAGTTTATCATCATTTGCATTCATTTTACTCCTTTAGAGTTAATCCTATATGTCATTGAAATCGATGAAACCGTGCGAAGAAATGAAAGATTATGGTGAAATCTTTAGGTGATTTCGAAACGTATTCTGCCAGTTTAATGAGAACTCGAGTACTGAATCATGTTGTCAAAGTTTACCTGGTTTCACTCTCAGCATGAAAAGAAAACAGTGTCAATAGTAATAACGAACGATTTGATGAAAACATTGCTTAGAAAGAAAAATATTGGTTGAAGACTGTTATTGATGATGACTGGTAATTGCTATGATTACATACAACAGTCAGTATTTATTTTTCTTTTGAATAGTTGCCAATACTTATGAATGATTGGTTTGATCGGATCTGTCTTGTTCGAGGTTGTTTTTCATACTAGGGTTTATATGTACTCGTAAAAAAGAAAGTTCTCGATCGCGTACTGTCCTTATAAAAACCTTCATCACCTATAATGTTTTTCATTCAGAAATGTTCCTCTCTTTTTGGCTCTTCGGTCTTGGCTTCATTCTTTTTCCACATGAATCGACACAACAAAATCTCTTGTCTTATATAGATGGCTATCGATCATCTTATAAGTTTTATCCTAATGGTAACATGAATCTTATTATTTCGGCACCACACGGTGGTAATGTGAATCCAACTGATGTGCCAGATCGATCATCCGGTGGTTGTGGTCGCAAATTAAACTCAACTGCTTTTTACTGTACATGGAATTACAATGATACGTGTGTCGAGAATGCTAACCCTTGCGATTTAGGAGCCATCAGAGATGTGCTTACTGATGAGTTTGCCCAAAATATAGCAAATGAATTAAATAAAACATGGGGCTACAAACCTTTCGTAGTACTTGGCGTATGGTCACGTGGAAAAGTTGAATTTAATCGACCAATTATCGAAGGAACATTGCAACAGCCTGAATCAGTTGCTAGTTTTCAAGGTTATCATTCATTTATCAGTCAGACCGTTGACCAAATCAAACAAAAGTTTGGCACAGGTCTCGTAATTGATCTTCATGGAAATGCATTCAAGTAAGTCCGTAATAGATATTGATAGATGCATATTATCGATCATTTGTAAAAGATGCGAACACTCATGAATATTTCAGTGGATCGCTCAAGTCGACTCAGGCAAACAGTCAAAATTTTAAGCGTCAATATGCTAGCCAAAGAAAATCTGAAGAATCGTATTTTTTCTTTTAGACTAGTGTAAGAAGGTCTATGATGTTGAAAGTTTATCTAAGTTGACTCGGCTATCCGCTAGAGTATGGGTGTCTGAGTGTTCGTGTCTATTATAAATATCCCATATTATGTACAAAATTGTTTATTTGATTTAGTTATACTATGGCTGGCTATCTCTTGAAGTCTAAACATCTTAGTGTAGATAATCTAAATACACTTACAGTAAATTCATCGATCGAACCACTTTGTGGATCCGATCGCAATGAATGCATTCGTGGTCTATCTTCATTTGGCACAAAACTCGAGCAAAAGGGACTCGGTGTTGTTTATCCATCGTTTTCAAATCCTAAACCAGGAAACCTTACCTATTTCGAAGGTGGCTACATTACAAGCAACTATATTTCAAAAATCAATGCCATTCAAATTGAATTACCCGCTGCTATCAGTTCAACAAAAAACCGAACTGACAATGCAAAAAAATATGCTCAAGTTATTGTTGAATATATGCGCGAAAGAAATATATTACGATTAAATACAGCTGCCACATAAATTCTGAGAAGAACATTATATTATAAGAAGAAAATTAACATTCAGCTTTTGAAAACTCATTCTAATCACTTTGAATTCATCAATAAATTTTTCATTCAAAAGTAAAAATATTGCATTAGAGTGACTCTTATTCGACATAATTCTTTGCTCAAATGTAGCAGTTCAATGCGATAACAGAAGTAGAGTTATCACAGAAACGTATGATCGTTGTTACACAGATAGCTTCATAACAGACACATGTATAACAACGGGGTAGAGAACAGACAGCAAAAATGGTAAGTTAATTCACTGACTAAATGACATATAAAAATTATACAGAGGAAAAAGATGTGCAGAGAAAAATGAGCTGCAATGAGACGTAGTAATGCGCTCAACAAATGGATGTGAGTGTGGGTATGAATTGAAGAAGAGTTCCTTCCACATTGACATTCATAGCTACAGGTGCACCTCTACTCTACATCCATCAATACCTACCCACACTTGCAAGTGACACCAAAACCTTTGAGTAATTAATCAAAGAGTTAGCAATACAATAGTTTCAGGATCAAGGGGGAAACGACGGATTTCGGATTCCCGAGATTTCCGGATTTCCATGGAATTTCCAGGATTCCCATGAGATTCCTGGATTCTCATAGAACTCCCAGGATTCTCATAGGATTCCCAGGATTCTCATAGGATCCCCAGGATTCTCATAGGATTCCCGTGGGATTTTCAGAATTCATGTGGTATTCTCGGGATTTCAGGGATACGAGAATCTCACGAAAATTCTGGGAATCCAATGGAAATCCCAGGAGTTCCATAGGAATCCAGGATTCTCGGAATTTTTATAATCACAAATGACATTTCCGAAATTCATATTTAACCTCTATGATCTTCACCCTCGTTCTAAAAATCTCATAGAGCTCAGTGTCAAGACTTCACTGCTTTATCACATCGTTAGAAAAGCTGCATTAAATTATTGAAGAAAATCATTGCCTAGGCGAGTTTTTTTCGTATGTTTGATCTGTGCAGACTTCAAAGCTTTTCTATAGCACATCACTTTCATGTTCAAGAATCTTAAGAAAGTTACACGTATGGAAGAATGATTTTCATTAAAACCGTGATTAAAAGCAGTA